TAAACATTGCTATCACTATGAGATTATATGTGTTTACTTGGAAATAGGAATAACTTTTCGGTCATCAAAACAAAACTTTATTTTTCTCGGATTGGTGCAAATGTTACTTACGACATAATGAAAATTTGCTCTTGATTTACTGTTTTGCAGATGCATTTTGATGCGATCTGTTATGCTAAGGCTGGCAAAAGCACCAGATTGAGCAAAACTGCAATCCCTACATTGTGTGCTTATTTGATCAATGACGATAACGATACAAACGACGAAGACGACGGGTACCCAGCGATCCTATCGACATCCTTACCACTCTATTCCTGCCCGTCGCTTCTGGATCACACATACGCTGATTTCAAAGCAATCCCGCCGGATTTTCAATTTGATGACATTGAAAACGCGGGTCAAGAAATCATTATCGCCACGGAGAATGCGTCGACAAAGTCAAAAGCAACCAAGATTAAAATTTCTGATTGTTGCAAAACGAAAAAGCAAATCAAAAGCTATGACAGGTACTTAAATATGATTTACAAGATTTTGTTTCAATAAATATTCTACCCAACTACCTATATATATTCTAAATATGCAAAAAAAAAAAAAATGAAAAAAAGGGTGATGAAATGGAAGAAAGAAGCGCTTTTGTGGAAGACTTCTAGCTTTTTCGGCATCAAAATGATTGTTGCTTGCTCCGATTTTCATACTTCTAGTGGATAGACGATAATCAATTTTTAATTACGTAACGATTGTTCACTTCAATCCCTACAAGTTGTCTCTATTTCAATGGAAAATAACTCCTTTGCGTGAAAACTACTTATAACACCCTCTCCCTGGTTCACAATAAGTAACAGAAACGCCGAACGTCCAAAAACATTTGTATTCTGCACCGTCATTAACTGCCATTTCAAAAAAACTATCTTGAAAAAAAAAACAATACGCAGATTTTTTCCGATTAACAATACTTCCCCCACTTTATTGAATCAAAATTTCGGTTCGCAGTGACAGATCATGACTGGTTCGCATTGACGTTTACGCGATCGGCTTCAGAGCTAGCTGGCGCCTCTCTCTTGGGTCATGACCAAGTAAGTTTCCGAAAGTTGATTGAATGTTTGGAACCTAATTTTGAATAATAAAGGAACTGATTTTCTAATTTCAAAAATTGAATCAACAACCGCCTAATTTAAACATGAATGAATTGTGCATTTTAAAGTTAAATTTCTTTATTATTTATTTTTTTATAATTAATAATATATTTATATTATTGAATGAAGCAGCAAAAATAATCTCGTAGTTCTACGTCAAAAACATTTCAAGCCATAGGTAATCAAATTACATACTTAAAAAATGCTATACTTACGAACGGCATCAAGATCATTTTTGTTTAAACATTTTAGCACAGACAAACAGACGTAACTCTTTGAAAAACTTGTTCTTGAAAACATAGTATCTCAAAACATATAACCTCAGTAACGACATCTCTCTGGCTTCTCGCGGAAAACAAGCTTGCTCGCTAACTCGTAAACAATATTGCATAAAAGTTCTATAGAATGTATAGAAACGTCCAAGTGATCTGATGCCAGCGCTGCGGCGAGTAGTTCGCGCAACTGATAATATTCAAATCAACCGTTAAATGCATGAACGAAGATACACAATGAAGAGTTACGTCTGTTTGTCTGTGATTTTAGCATGTGAAATTTCAAAATCTTGGTAGGCTTTTTTTTACACGGTACATATCTCCGTAAAAAGGCCCGATTGTCCGTAAAGTATTATCTGATCGTAAAGCAAAAATTGAAAAAAAAAATCAATCGTAAAGTATCTAAATACTAAATAAATGAAACATTGGGCAATTTTCGATGCATTTAATGAAAATAATTGAGTGAATTGGCGTCTTGCAGTGAAACTTTTCCAAGATTTCGCCACCTACATTTCGAAGTGAGAACTACTAGAAGGAGGATAGTTTCCAAATAATTCCAAAACTTGATTAACTCAACACGCACCATACCATAAAATGGTGCTAGATGGTCTTCAAAGTGATAACAAGATGACAAATCATCTTTATTTTGAGTAATTGAGCAATTTACCATCATATTTACGATGCAGCATTGATGGAGCCGTGAAATGAAATGAATATATCTTATGAAAGTTCACCTGGAAAAGTCAAAGATGCACATCAGTCTGATCGTAAAAACGTTTTCTTCTTCATTTCGAATGTTATATTGGAAGGATTTCACGTAGGCTTGATGAAAATTATGATTTAATGCTAATTTTCACGAATTTTATATGCAGTCTGTCAACATTATTGGCTACAAATCTCTTTAATAAAGAATTAAAAAAAAAAAAAAATGTCAACATTATCATCATCATGCAGTGGCGACATCTGCGTTCACGGAAACCGCAAAATACGCAAAAATGACTATAAAGGACTCAATTTTGACTATAAAGTATGCATATTCGGCTAAAACGGGACTACACCTACAATGTGTGTATTTTTTACACATTTTATGAGTATCTGGAACTCATAAATGCATAAAATTTATTCATTTTTGTACTAGTAATTACTCATAAATGTGTAAAATTTTACTTATTTTTTGGGTAGTCTCGTTTTCATTCAAATATGTGTACTTTATAGTCATAAAAGAGTTTTTTGCGATTACCGTGTTGAGCTTTTGCGGCAATCATCCAATTGATCAGTTCACGAAGATTTGCCGCACTCTTCTCTCACCCGTAAGTTTTGACAGTTTTGGGTGGTTTGTTTTGGCTCCCATTCGTTGCTATCTCTTTTACTCAGAAGCAAAATGATAGGGAGCAAAAAGTGAGGTTAGGGACCGTGCACTGATCTATTGGCGAATCAAAGCAAAGCCAAAACTGGCCATGCGACACCTAGTTTTCAGATCCGCATTTAAAAAAATGATGATGTACTAAAAAATGTCATGCAATTTGACAGATATCAAAACGTCATTACCATTTTCACTCATTCGCCATCTGTGAGTCAATCGTCACTTTGATTCTTCAATTAGTAATCGTCAAATTTTGAGATTTATATTTATCAATGTGCAGATTGTGCAGGGTAATTTTTTGGTATTATCACGATGAGAAACAGCTAGTTAAATGAAAGATGTCCAATATTACATAATCACTCAATTTCAGAAGGTTGTTATTAAAATTGTGTGAAATTTCGTAGAATGATAGAAGTACAACGGTTTTAGTGACGGTATGATTGGTATGATTTTAGCTGATTCTATTATTCTAACACGCACTGTATATCGAGCCCCATATGTAACTATGTTTTCGACTCTAAATTAGGACATTTTCAGTGTGGCACTGCCAACATTAGATAGTGTTCTAAAATCAGACCAGTTAAACCATCAATGGTGAATTTGATAACCAGTGGCGTTTCCTTAACCTCAATCTACCTGTGCACCAACTCTCAAAACATAAACAATAATTATCAAAATATTGCTTGCAATGGATAGATATCGAGTTAACTAGAAGATTAAGTGTATTTTTCAACCGATTCGAGAATGAATCTGGTTTTGAAAGTTGGTGCACAATACGGGACGCCACTGTTGACAACTAAAAGAAATTCGAATCGATGTCTTTTCTGAAGATCTAAAAAAAAACAGCTGTTTTGAAACGATTTTATAAAGTGGATTATTGAGCTTTAATTCCGTCAATCGACCCCCGTTCGCGAGTAAGCACGTAAAGTAAAAGTCCATTTTCCTTATCAATCAGCTCTTGAAGTTCTTTCTATTCTCGTTCGTAGATACTTGATGTTCGTCCTACGCGAGATAACTCATCGACAAGCTGCTAGTTAGTAGTGCATGTTCCTATACTATGTAATATTTACAGTTTCCTGCTGTATGCTGCGAGCGTAGCGAAGAAAGATTAGCTTCGCTGTCGAAGCTAAGTGATATGTAAATGAAATACCGTACTATCTCGCGAAAAACCACCCCCTCGGTCTTGCAGCCTCATTTCTTCCATAATGGGGGTGTTTTTAAACGTTGCAGGGTGTTTAGTCAGGCCTCCCAATAGCCTATTCTGTAAAGGCATACCATACCGGTGCGGTGGGTTCGGAAATTCCTCTGCTTCCCTGGGCATAGAGTATCATCGTGCTTGCCACAAATTATAAAAATGCAAAAATTATAAAAGCCGAGGAAGCTTTCAAGCAAAACAACAGTTTTGAGAGCAGGCGTGAAGTGCCAGTTGGAACTAAATAATCAAGAAGAAGAAGGATCATCATCCTAATGTCCCTTTAGTTTCACATATAGTTACACTTTACGATGCTGCTTCTGCATACAACACATGGAATCGTAGCAGAGTCGTCGTCTACCCGAATAATTACATTAAGCTGACTAACATGCAGCATTATACTCATTATAGTGGTGTTACCTCATTGTGTTGCTCACTGTAACAGCTCCATCTGCGAGTGCAGACATTGCAAAATAATACCGGCATCGATTTCTACTTTACATATCTGGCACCGTTGCTTCAGAGCTCGTCCCGTAGGTGATAACAATTCGGTCACGGGTAGCAAAATCTGACGATTTCGGTGTCTCAGCCTGAGGTCATCTGACATAATGTCAATGTTCTTGTCTTCGTAATTGAATCAATTGAAACCTGCAGCTGGTTCCAGGGTTTCGCTTTTTTGAGCCACGATCTTCCAATGCTCATGACTTATGAGTAATCATACAAACGTTTCTTCTTTATCTTATCACATAAAACCGTGCTCATTGTATTGTGTTATGTGTCGTCGTAAAACATTCCACGTTGCGCTCACGACAGATGACGACACTGTGTGACCACGACGACAGCGACGACTGATTCAGCAATCAATTTCCGAAGCAGACCGTTAGTCATTCTGTACAAGCGCCAAATACGGCGCTGACTTAAGCCAATTATCACCAAACTCCCACCCACGCACATCACTATGATCATCCAATCCGCCCCAAACAACTTCAATGCAGGCAAACGTTTAAATATGTTTGTTTTTCTCTTTCTCTTTCTTACAGTTGTACTGATTGGAGACTCCGGCGTCGGTAAAAGTAATCTGTTATCGCGATTCACTAGGAATGAATTCAACTTGGAATCGAAATCAACCATAGGAGTAGAGTTTGCTACTAGAAGTATAGAGGTAGGTGCTGGTGGTTCATTCCGTGTGCTCTAAAATCCCAACATGAATCCTTACTTGCAGGTCGATGGCAAAACAATCAAAGCCCAGATATGGGACACGGCCGGCCAGGAACGCTACCGAGCGATTACGTCCGCGTATTATCGGGGCGCGGTCGGGGCACTGCTCGTATACGACATAGCTAAGCACCTAACGTACGAGAATGTGGAACGGTGGCTGCGTGAACTGCGCGACCATGCCGATCAGAACATTGTGATCATGCTGGTCGGCAACAAGAGCGATCTGCGGCATCTACGTGCGGTGCCTACGGATGAGGCGAAGGGATTCGCCGAACGGAACGGCCTCAGCTTCATCGAAACGTCGGCGCTGGATTCGACCAATGTTGAAACTGCATTCCAGAACATACTCACAGGTAGGTTTGGAGGGTTAATGTTAACGTTCGGTTTTCAGACGAAGAATAGGGGTTTTGATTTTGTAAAGTTAGTTCAACGAGTCTTCCTGAGGCGATATTTACAATAAGCATGTTGAGCAGCGGCATAGCTCTGATTTGACGTCCCCGGATTCTAAGAAGAACAGTGGAGAGGAAGTATACGATGTTCTGCATTGGGGTCTTTTTTGACCCGGCATCACTTTAAAAAAGCTGTAGTTTTGTAACGAAATATGATAGAGACCTAAAATTTCCTGACTATTTCTAACGTTAGGAAACGCTGTCTTATTGTTTTATTGTTGTTTTACATCAACAGGCTGGATGAAGCCCCAATGATGTTAACTTTATCAACTATAGTAAAAAAAGTACATTCAAGCATGGTCATAACATAAAAAATATATATATCTTATAGTCAGTTACTCCTGCCGGCGAAAAACAGAAGAAAACTTTCGACGAAGCGCATCACGGGAGAGATGAAAGTCGAAAACAGATGCGACTCTGTTGAATGTTCTCTGCAGTCCGCAAATCGCACCGTATGCTCCATAATTTGTGCAACGTAGAGGCAGTCTTAGCATAAGGTTATAACGAAACGGGCGGGGTTGAACATTCAGGTCAATTTGCCTCAGGATAGCCTCGCAATCTGTCCTTCCTTGCAGGATATCGGCCACGATTAGGGCTATGCTTGTGTCTCTTCTAGTCCGGAGAAGTTCTAGGTCGATAAGTTGACAACGGCTTTCGTAACTGGGTAATCGAAACGGATCATTCCAAGGCAATTTACGCAACGCAAAACGAAGAAAACGACGTTGAACGGATTCAATTCTCTCGGCACCGTTGTTGTAGTTTGGGTTCCAAACCGCTGCACAATACTCAAGCGTCGATCGAACAAACGAACAATAGAGATATTTTAGACAGTAGATATCAGTGAAGTTTTTAGCTATCCTAAAAATGAACCCTAAAGTTCTTGACGCTTTATCAACAACAACATATGCAATATGTTGCTTGAATGAAAGCTGCGAATCCAAGATCACACCCAAGTCTTTCACCTGATTCACGCGTTCGATTGTCGAGCCAAGCAGGTCATTTTTTTTTTTGCTTTATTAGAGAGATTTTTAGCCTTAGGCTGCGAGGGGTGGAGACTTCAGATGGGTGTCCCTTCTTCTTTCTTCTTTTTCGCATATCAAGCTTATTGCTTATCGCATATTAGCTTATCGCGTGCTCTCAACTTAGTGTTCTAAATGCACTTCCACAGTTATTAATTGAGAGCTGTCGATGCCTGGTACCAATGTATGAATTTGTATATTGCGTGGCAAGCACAATGATACTCTATGCCCAGGGAAGTCGAGAAAATTTCCAACCCGAAAGATCCCTCGACCGGACCGGGAACCGAACCCGCCGCCTCCGGCTTGATAAAACCGTGCCTGTACTGACTAGGCTATGAGGCCCCAGACGGGAGTCCCCCTAATTAACTAATAAGAAGGGGAGGTGAGGTTCCAGAAGAGAACCCCGAGGATACGGAGTTAGAATATGGGCGGGAGCTCCAGAAGGGAGTCCCCATAATAACAGAGTTTTAATATTTCAGAGTTGGGAATTTTCCTTTAATGCTACCGATGTTACTGTCCTTTCGAATAATCGTGGTCCGTGTCCTGTTCCTTTGTAGTCGCTGTGTTTAATTTTAGTGCTCTCATTCGTCCATTTCCGTGTCCTTGTACGTGCGTTGCCAAGCAGGTCATAGCTAAATATTATCGGTTGTTGTTTTCGTGAGACCGTAATAGCGGAGCATTTGGCTGGGCTCATTACAATTCTGTTTAACCTGCACCCACTAGCGAATACATTCAGTTGACGTTGATGAAAGTGACAGTCAGCAATGGAGCAGATTCGTAGGAAGATTTTGAGGTCATCTGCATATGATAACCGAGGACCTTCGATGACCAGATGCACGTCGTTGAAGTACAGTATAAAAATTAACGGTCCCATGTGGCTTCCCTGAGGTATACCTGATGTGGCGAAGGAGCTAGCTGATCTGCAATCTCCTATGGCAACTTTTAGTTGCCGACCGGTAAGATATGAACGTCGAAAGAAGCTTTCATTGGCTTCTAGGAGTGGCGCTACAAAACAAGTGACACATTGGCATTAGCGGGTCAAATCAGACCTAGACTGCAACTCGCTCCCAAAAATCAATGTTTGAACCGAACCGATTGACCTCAAATGAAAGATGAAGCACTGACAGACATAACGCATTGTGTATTTTTCACTGTAAATCATCGTCCCTAAAACACTACCGACTCCTGCTGTGTACACTGTCATGGGCAGTACATGTAATCGTCAAACTCATGGAGTTGACTATGCCCGCCACAGGCGGCGGGAACCAGTTCCGATAGGGTCCTAAAAATGACACTTCCCAAACCTTATGCACTAGTACCGTCCTACGGCTCAAATTTTATGATTTTTCATGCAGAAGAAAATAGACATCATACCATGGACCAACCGGGGGATATAATCACTTCTGAATACCCGGAACCGGTTCCGGTAGGACCCCAAAAAGGACACTTTCAAAACCTCATGTACTGGTACTGTCAGACGGCTTAAAATTTATGACTTTTCATCCAGAAGTAAATAGACATCATGCCATGGACCAACAAGTGGAGCGGGCCACATCAGGATACCCGGAAACAGTTCTGATAGGGCCCCATACAGGACACTTCCAAAATGTAACTGGTATCGTCCGACGGCTTAAAATTTATGATTTTTCATGCAGAAGCAAATAGACATCATGGCATGGAGCTACCTACGTTGAACAGACGAAAGGTTGAAGGTACAAATGGTCGAATGATAAGAAGGGGCTCAAAAGGTCGAATGATGCAAAGGAGGACAAAAGGTAGAAAAAAAGAACATAAGATCGAATGGACAAAAGGTTGAATGACATCCATATTTGACGCAGTTAAGGAATTATCAAATTCAATCAACACTCGATGAATGTCTTTGTAATTTTGCGTCCCACTATTTAAAATATCGACGAAAATGAAATAATGTAAAACTTGACGAACTTGTTAAAAATGTTGTGAAAAATGGCTTTCTTTTGATATCGTACGTCGTGTTTATTTATTTTCCATATGTTCCGTCGTGTTCCAAATTTTCCTATGTTCCTAGTTTGACGCACTATAAAAATGTTACACATTCGATCAATAAGCTTCGTTAAATACGTAGCAAGTACTTAACACTATAATATTTCATTAATGAGTTCGGCCTTTCCGGAACAGATTTAGAACATGTCGTAGACATAGATTTATCATCCAAGAATAGCTTATCTCTGCACGCTAGCACACACGTGATGAACGGTTATCATCGGCCGTTTAGTGGAGGAACCAAAACTAAAGCCCTACAGTAAAAGTATGGACGACTGAAACCAGAAAACTGAAAAGAAGTTGTTCCAATCGAGCAAAGCAGTGCATTTTGAGAGTTTGATTGGAACAGCTTTTGGCAGACGTCCTTACTTTTAATAAAGGGCTTTACTGTGAACGAGTGCTTCCCATTGAGAGCGTTGCTGGCTGCTTGCAGAACTAACACTTGATCACTTTATTTTGTAGTATTGACCACTAGGAAAATTCCCCTAATTTGGGCCCATACACAAATTCAGCAATCGACTAAATTTTCAATAGCGACCAAAAATATCCATTAGTACCATACCAATAACGCGTTAATCTAGATAAAATTGATAAATAGCAGATTTTTAGCGATGGGCCCAATCTTAGATGCATAGGCCAACATTAGAGGTTTTTCCCCTTTATAAACCGTTTTTACTGAGATGAGCGAACTGCGAACTGAAAGTCCTTGGTCAGATGCTCGACTGAGAATCGAATATGGTGACTTCACGGTACCGCTTAGATTTTCAAGATTCCTGCGTTGGATTTTATTGAATTCGTCTTCGACATGCATCATTGGATAGGTTGTCAAGCCATTTATGGAGGAATGCTTCATAATTCGGATTAAATTTGATTGCCAACCCTGTATACTGCCGGTGGATGCACAACTGGACCAGGGGAATCCCTTAGCACATCTACACAATTTTGCGTGTAGATTTGTAGTAAATAAGTGGGAGTCGAGCAAAGTATGGTGCTGGCATTTTGTGATCATTCTTTCATGCTAAAAATTCTCTCTTGCTTCATTCTCATTATTCTACGCAGAAATCTATCGGATTGTCTCGCAGAAGCAAATCCGAGATCCCCCGGAAGGAAGCGTAATCAGACCGAACCTGGAAAACATCGACGTGAAGCCGACCAATCCAGCGACCGACTCGGTGCGAAAACAATGTTGCCAGTGACCGCCACAAGCAGAAACAACGCGATCTGTTTTTAGTTCTGCTACAACAACAACAACAACTAGAACTACTACTGCAATTGCACCTACTACTACTACTACTACTATTACTACTATTATTATTACTGCTGCAGCGACAGCGTCGTCAACAACAACAACATCAAAGAAGCTCTTTCTCGATAGTAATAATAGACCCGGTAATACGCTTTTGATTTGAACATGAAACCCAAAAACTAAGCAACATGAAATGAAATGTTATTGATTAACAACCCTCCCCATTACCTACTAAAGATACAAAGCAGAATAAAGTAGTCAAATTGGGAAATAAACTAAGAGGAATACCAGCTAATTAATTAACACATACTACTATTATCCCTCCTTAAAACGAAAAATCAAATGACAAAAAAAAACCTTTTCAGCAGTACTAGATGTCAAATTTTCCATCGAGTAATCATCGTTGGACACACGATACTTGTTGTTTGAGAGAAACCGAAGAGTGCTAATCCCCATTTTTGTATTCTCAATTATGACTGTTCCCTTTAAAATGAAAACCTAGAGCGCATGAATCGCCAACAAAAATCGTTAAGTTATTTTGTTCATGATTGGAAAATAATTGATGTTTCCACGCCTATGAAAAATTGCACACACCTTAGAGATACTACAACTCTGATTCACAGACACACTCGATGGGCTGATTAAGACAAGCAAAAATGATTCACTTTTTCCCGTTTTCTGTTACAAATTATTTTCTAGTGATAGATATTCAAGCCGGTTTGACATATTTCTTACAAAAAGTATACATACACACACACACACACACACACACACACACACACACACTGCAGTAAAGCAACGCAAACCAGCTAGTAGAAATTTCGCTTTAGTGAATTTAAAAGCTGCTTTGATGCAACACAGAAGACGTAAGATTGAGAGTGTCCTGGATCGGGACACTCGCATGCGATGGATGGAAAGAAGGCACGCAAATAATGAAAAAAAAAACAGCAAAACTGGGCTAGAAAAAATGCAGTAAAAGTCGTATAAGAACATTAATAGGTGATATGCTGAGAAGAATGAAGTTTATTTTAAATTAATTATGATCAAAATGGTAATACAAATAAAATTCACTTGGAGAGTAAACAAAGTGATGGCGAACGGAGTTTTCTTTATTCCAATAAATTCTGCTTTCCCTCATTGCGCCCGAGGAGTTGCGAAACGTTGGCAAACGAAGAGGTGAGTACCCAAGAAACTAATCCAGTCGAAAGTGTTCGAATATTCCCGAAAATATGTGTCTCTAGAGAAACGAAATGTGCTTTACCTACTATCAGTTCAATATTAAATTGATTATGATTTTATTATAACTTTATGTTCATCACGCACCGTACCATTTCTGTTGTCGCTTTCCACATCTACGTAAACATCTTATCCACGTGTTACTGTACTCTTTAATTGTTAACCCTGGGACGTAGGAACATGTTCTTCAAATTTTAAATTGGTCGCAAAAAAACAGCAGCGAGCAGTAATTGTAGTAGTCAATAAGTCGAAGGAAGGGCGAAAAACAAAGATCGGCAATTATTTATATAGAAGAAAGAAGATGAAAGGTAATAGATAATAGGTAAAAACAAAAACATTCAAAAAATATATATAATAAAACGAACTAATAAATAAATAAAGTAAACAGAAAAGAAGCAAAACAAAGGTAAAACAGTAATGATGAGAAAATCACATTAACGGCAGAAGATTTGACAGAAAATTGCACCAATTTTATGTTGAATTATAATTGATTTAAAATTTACTATTATTAACTATTATATACTATTAAACAATATACTCTATTATTATTACAAAGGAAACGTAATAAAAGAACGGCTTTTGTGCTTTCCTCATCTGTGTAGCATAATATCGCATCCCTCTGCTTCAAGTTTTACCAGCTTTTCTTTGTATCGCTTTTATTTTTTTTTTGTGTCGCAAAAGCATATACAGTCATTTTAGGCCATACATGAGATGTAAACCTTAATTCATCCACCTTCGGTGAGAACTGACCATTCTTACATATTTATATTCAAACATCAATGCAAAATTTCTGGCCTCCTTCAATCCAAGCCAGCGTGTGGTCTTGGGCTGACCACGACAGTATCGGGGAACTTCTTTCGAATTTGAACTGGCACAGGATACTCGTCCCTGCCGATCTCAATGCAGCTGCCCAAACGCTCTCGCATATTTTGGCTTACGTCATTGAGCGACACGTTCCGAAAAAAGTTCCTAAACAAAATAATCATCTCCCTTGGCAAACAAGTGAACTCCGTATGTTAAAGATATTCAACGGAAGCTTCGATCTCACCCGAAAAATTATGTGAATGAGCAACGAAAGGAGTCTGGCCTTCCATCGACTATGGTACTGAACGACGAAGAAGCTTCATCCCCTCAGGACATTTGCCTTCTGTTCTCAACCAAGTTTGCGAGTGTATTCTCGGATGAGAACCTACCTGAAAAGCACGTTTCTCTAGCAGCCAGTAATGTTCCAATGTCTGGTCAATCTTTGGCAGCTATCAACATCGACCTCGCTATGATAACTAGGGCGGCTTCGCAACTGAAGCCTTCATTTAAGCCTGGACCTGACGGAGTTCCTTCCGCCTTTCTCAAACAACACATCGATAGCCTGGTGGTTCCTCTCTGCCTTCTGTTCGAAATGTCCCTCTCCAGTAGGGTGTTTCCTTCCTGCTGGAAATCAGCTGAGATGTTTCCAGTGCATAAGAAGGGATGCAAATCTAAACTGTTCGAGTTGGTCGTTATGGAACCATTAGGTGGTGGCCAGGGTAGACGCGATTCGCGATGCGACGCGACCAATTCAAAGGAATCTTATTATTTATTATTATTTCTTGCGTGTCGCGTCTACCCTGGCCGCCACCTTAGTCTCTCACTTCAAGCAGCACTTGAGCGAAGACCAGCATCCTATAGCGATCGCCAAACTCGATAGGCTCGGTATAAACGGCAGTCGCCTACGATGGTTCGCATCCTATCTATCTGATCGACAGTTGCAATCGACGACTGCCGATCTCCTTCGTTCCCTGCCACTATTTCAACGACGTCAATTTCGTCCTCGACGGTCCACGAGTGTCGTTCGCAGACGACATGCCAACTGAACCGCATGGTTGTAAATCCAACAAAATATTCAGTAATCACGTTCACACGGAAGAAACATCCAATTACATTCAGTTATATCCTAGAAGGCGTTTGCCTTGGAGGTATCCTCATCGCCTTCCAAGCTACGAAAGTCGGTGCCAGTTAATACACGTGGATCCTTTGTGGAGTCGAAGAGATACGACAAGGGCCCTGTTTGTGGCAGACATTCTACAGGGCAGAATCGATTGTCCTTCTATTCTACAACAAATCGACGTTCAACCACGAGCACTCCGCAACAACGATACCTTTTCGTCGTAAAAACTATGGTGCTTTCAATGGGCTACAAAGGGTTTTCAATCGTGTTGCTTCCTTATTTGATTTTCACTTGGCACGCGAGACGCTGCGTCAGAGATTCCGTGATATACATACATACATTTATTTGTACAACATCACATTTAAGATAAGACATAATCAACAATAGTACGCCACAATACTCGGTTTGCGGCTGCCGCTCTCCATCCTCGGTCATGCCCAATGCTCGCTAGATCGCGCTCTACCTGGTCCGCCCATCGTGCTCTCTGCGCTCCACGCCTCCTTGTGCCAACCGGATCAGTAGCGAACACCAACTTTGCAGGGTTGTTGTCCGGCATTCTTGCAACATGTCCAGCCCACCGCATCCTTCCGGCTTTGGCCACCTTCTGGATGCTGGGTTCGCCGTAGAGTGCAGCGAGCTCGTTGTTCATTCTTCGCCGCCACTCACCGTTCTCCTGCACACCGCCGAAGATCGTCCTTAGCACACGTCGCTCGAAAACTCCGAGTGCTTGCAGGTCCTCCTCGAGCATAGTCCATGTTTCGTGTCCATAGAGGACCACCGGTCTTATTAGCGTTCTGTACATGGTACATTTGGTGCGGGGTGAATCTTTTTTGACCGTAGTTTCTTCTGGAGCCCGTAGTAGGCACGACTTGGATCGTGTCGTCCGCAAAACACACAAATTGACCGGATTTCGTGAAAATCGTACCCCGGCTGTTGAGCCCGGCTCGTCGCATTACACCTTCTAGAGCAATGTTGAAGAGTAGGCATGAGAGTCCGTCACCTTGTCGCAGTACCCGGCGAGATTCGAATGAACTGGATAGTTTACCCGAAACCCTTACGTAGTTTTGCACACCGTCCATCGTTGCTTTGATCAGTCTGATCAGCTTCCCAGGAAAGCCGTTCTCGTCCATGATTTTCCATAGCTCTGTGCGGTCGATACTGTCGTATGCCGCCTTAAAGTCGATGAACAAATGATGCGTTGGGACCTGGTATTCACGGCATTTCTGGAGGATTTGCCGTACGGTGAAGATCTGGTCCGTTGTCGATCGGCCGTCAATAAAGCCGGCTTGATAACTTCCCACGAACTCGGTCATTTTAGGTGATAGACGACGGAAGATGATCTGGGATAGCACTTTGTAGGCGGCATTCAAAATGGTGATCGCTCTGAAGTTCTCACATTCCAAATGGTCGCCTTTCTTGTGAATGGGGAAGATTACCCCCTCCTTCCACTCCTCCGGTAGCTGTTCTGTTTCCCAGATCCTGACTATCATCCGATGCAGGCAGGTGGCCAACTTTTCTGGGCCCATCTTGATGAGTTCGGCTGCGATACCATCCTTACCAGCTGCTTTGTTGTTTTTGAGCTGCTGAATGGAGTCATTAACTTCCCTCAGCGTTTGAGTTGGGTCAGTTCTGTCCTCTGCTGCACTGACGTAGTCGTTTCCTCCATTGCGCTGGTCTCCCGTGCCTACGTTCTCCTTGCCATTCAGGTGCGCATCGAAGTGCTGCTTCCACCTTTCAATCACCTCACGTCCGTCCGTCAAGAGGCTCATGTCCTTATCCTTGCACATTTCGGCTCGCGGCACGAAGCCGTTGCGGGATGCGTTGAGCTTCTGGTAGAACTTCCGTGTTTCGTGGGAACGGCACAGCAGTTCCATTTCCTCGCACTCCGCTTCTTCCAGGCGACGTTTTTTCTCCCGAAAGATGCGGGTCTGCTGTTTCCGCTTCTGTTTATACCGTTCCACGTTCTGCCGTCGACTTCTTTCCACGTACCCGATGGTGCTCTCGGCTGCGTCGGTGATGGCTGCTTTTACTGTACTCCAGCAGTCCTCTAGAGGGGGCACATCGAGCTCACCCTCCTCTGGCAACGCTGCCTCGAGATTCTGCGCGTATGCTAAGGCGACATCCGGTTGCTTCAGTCGCTCTAGGTTGTACCGTGGCAGGCGTCGGTACCGTACATTGTTGATGACGGAAAGTTTTGGGCGCAGTTTGACCATTACCAGGTAGTGGTCAGAGTCGCTGTTAGCGACACGATAGGTCCTGACGTCGATAATGTCGGAGAAGTGCCGTCCATCAATCAGAACGTGGTCGATTTGCGATTCCGTCTGCTGTGGTGATCTCCAGGTGTAACGATAGGGGAGGTGGTGTTGGAAGAAGGTGCTACGTATGGCCATGTTCTTGGAGGCGGCGAAATCGATGAGTCGTAGGCCGTTCCCGTTCGTCAGCCGGTGGGCGCTGAACTGAACCGTGATATATTTTTAAGAATTAAGAATTAAGTTGGACTTCACGGCCTTTGCAGCTTATTACTTCTTGACTATATTGTAATTCCTAGTATTGCTTAATCCATCATTAGGACTAAACCCAGTCTGTTGATGTAGAACCAAATAAACAAATGATCTTATTTTTGTATTTTAATGTGATTTGATGTGCCGCATTGAAGCACCTTGATCATGTCCAGGTGTGGCCAATGAGATCGGACACTTAATATCACATTTTTCTCCAATAATAATGATGACTTTTGGATCTAGCCAGATATGTATTGTACTCCCCAGAATAAGGGGGAGATTATTTTGCGTCGCGAGTAAGGTGAGGTGACAAAAGTCAACGCGAGTGAGGTGACTCTCCGTGCAAATCAAATGGAGTCACCTAACTCGCGGTGAATATTAACTCCTCAGTAAGTCCTCACTAGTGACAGCGAGTTACCTCACGTCACTC